CATCCCATCGGGGTAGGGGGAGCAAGCGAGCGGCTGCGTGGCGCTTAGTTGCTGGCTGGGGATAAACCACGACAAGTTTATTGGACAGGTGTTACAGAGGAGAGCACCAAGAGCTGAATTTGCAAGCAGTACTCTAGAATGAGACAGAACTGAAAGACCAAATATAATTTACAGTCATACTTCTAAGATCAGCATTATCCAGCTCTCATACTTCAGGATACAGAAGCCACTAAAGGCTAGAAAAGAATCTCCTAGAAAACTAGTCTGGCTAGGAGAGTCCACACTTATCAATGGCAACAGGTACAAAGCCATATTCTGTAGAGGCAGAATGCCTCTACAGTCTTTATGTTTCAATCCAAAACCACACTCAAGTTACTGAGCTAGCTAATCTTTAAAGTAATTAACAGCAATGTTGAGCTCAGTCTGTACAGCAAAACATCCATCCAGGATCCTGGATCCAGTCACCAAAGCCCACGCCACTACTGGCATATTCTTACAACAATTCAGGATAGCTAGTTCTGCATGAGCTGCAATCACTCTTGAGGATAACAGAATGCACCTACACAAACTACTTTTTTGTTGATCTGCAATACTGTGTCACTACATAGTTAGCCACACCTTCTCAGAAGGTCCTTTGTTGCATCTGCACTCTACACATTCACTTTCAAAAAGATTAAAGTAAAGACCTAACCAGCTTAATACAGGCACCAGACTCTACACTTCATCCTTCTGGAATATTTCAAATGATGTCAGAACTTAATTGAATTATTGCAAGAAAATAAAAAGGTTAAATTGATTTTATTGTATTATTGCTGGATACAAGCCTGCCAAGGTTATCAATATGAAGCTACAGTTATACCTGTGAGTATTCAAATACTGTCTTACTGCTGAATCAAGATTCTAGAGATGAAGAAGAACAGGCGACAAATGCCTCCACCTCCAACATTCACATCTGATCACCTTTTACAAGTCTCAGAACAGAAGCAAGTTTTTTCCTGTGCAATATGTATTAATTACTTCACAGCACTTTCAGTCCTTTTGCTACAACAATACCATCTGTTTTACATGAAAATCCAAACCAAATTGAATCAGAAAGTGTCAGAGGGTGAAGACATCACAGTAATGAAAGGAAGGTTTTTAAGCAGACAGCATACAGCATACAGTAACAGTTGTGTCTTCCTACTGACAGCTTCTTAAGTTCCCTTTAACTCTGTTGATGTGTACCTCAAACTCCTGCAGTGTTACAGTCCCATCTGCAATCAGTTTGTCAGCATACTTCTTCAGCACCGGCACCTGCTTATGAATCTGCTTGTACATTAGAGGCTGGGTGAACATTGGTTCATCCATTTCATTGTGCCCTCTCCTACGGTAACAAACCTACAAAGGGAAAGATCGTTTCTGTTGGTAAGGAAAAATATTAAATGAAATCTTTCAATTTCATAGTTTTACAGAGATTTTAGGAGGTTTATGGTACAAAAACATTTACGGATTCTTGTGGGGCTGTTAGTTGTTTGTTTTGGTATTTTTTTAATTAAGAAACTAAAGGCCATTAAAATCAAACTATGTTTCTTGACTGGGTCTTCTAAGCCACAGAAAAATAAGAGAGTAGTACATAATACACAGAATGAAAAGTTAAGAAAACCAAGACTTACCAAGTCAACCACCACATCTTTATTGAATGTGTTTCGCCACTCTGCAGCTACACTGCACACATACATCACTGCTTCAGGGTCATCAGCATTCACATGAAAAATTGGAGCATTGACCACACGAGCAACATCAGTAGGATATGGAGATGAACGGGCCATACGGGGGTCTGTGGTGAAGCCAATCTAGAAATTCCAGAAACTTCCATTAAAATGTGGGCATCTCCCTCTACTTTGTTTTGAACACTTGAGGTTTTCATTTAATAGTCATTTACACAGTAGTAGTATCAGCTTTTCATTTTGGCTAGCTAGCTTATTTTTGCTCCCTTAAAAACAAAACAAAGCAAACCTAATCCAATTAAGTGTTATAAATTAAATGTAGGTGACAAAACATTATCCATTCAGAGTTGCTAGATACTGTGATCATTTCCAGGAACATCCTAACCATTCTAATAAACAGAAGGGACAATGCACCCTGCTAATAACAAGAATAAAAAGAAATACATGAACAACTATTGAGCGACAAATTGATTGGAAAATGCTCTACTTGTTACCTGGTTGTTGACCACAACGTGAATAGTGCCATTCGTGGTGTAGGATGGAAGGTCACTAAGATGAAACGTCTCATAAACCACTCCTTGTCCTGCAAAGGCAGCATCCCCGTGTAATAATATGGACATAACCTAAGAGGGAGGATTATACACACATATCCACACATGTATTAGAAAGCAAAACTGCAATTTAAGGTTCTCAGCAGGATTTCTTTGCTCCATATTTCTGCAGTGCTTATAAAACAAAACTGTATTTTTATAATAAACCATAGACTTGTCAGCATTCTGCTGCCTTTGCTCAGTTCGCAAATGGAAGAAAGTTTTAAGCCTACTTCCTGAAGTTACCCTTGAGGTACCATGTCAAAAGCCTTATCTAGTTCAACAGGTGATATATCCCGTTTGTGAAGGAGGAAGACTCAGTAATACAAAACTACTGGTAAACTATATTTATTAAAAATAGTATTAAAAACTACCAGTAACAGTTACTATATTAAAAAAATGTTTACCTTTTTCCCTGCCGTATCCCCTCGATAAAACTGTTCAGCTTTTGTCTTCCCTTGCACAACAGGATCAACTGCTTCCAAGTGAGAAGGGTTAGCCATCAGGGACAGAGTGATTTTCTTGTTTGTTGCTCGGTTGATCCTCTCATGGTACATTCCCAGATGATATTTTACATCCCCAGATCCCTAACGTGCAAGATGTATTCACAATTCAGGAATGTCATTCATAGCAGCTGCATCCGACTGAATACACCTAAAATTTGTGCTTCAGTCTGAAAAGTGCATCTAGCTAATTGTACATCAGTACGCACTATGGGTTTGACACCATAATTTCAAATTGGAACACTGTTCCTATTTTATTATGTTAGTGTCAACATCCAATATTGGATAAATATTTGCAGAATATTGATACTCAGCTCATTTATATGAAACAAAGAAAGATGCTTGGAGATTACGAACTCAGTCAAATGACCTGGAACTTACTTAGCTACAGTTATTCCTAAGACACCCTGCACATGTTAGAGGCACAGTATAGTCTTTAAATTTGTTAAGAAGTTTCACCAAATAATATTCCTCAAACTAGAAAAGAAGACTACGCATTTCAGCAGCTGATAATGCTATTTTCATAATAACTGTGACCAAAATGACTAAAAACTACCTTGAATGTTGACCTCTGTATATAGGTCTATTGAAGAAGCATCTTACCTCATCAGCTGCTTCAAGTTTGGGATCAAACTGACAGAAGATCTGCTCCAGCTCTTTTCGGATTACGTTAGCCAATACATTCAGCCTACCTCTAAGAAAATTCCAAACACAGTTATGCGTCAAAAATAGTAATAACAGAGTCAACGGCATAAAACTTACAAAATCAGCAAGCCACCTCTATCAGAAATTTGCAAGGAAGAAGTTCACTTCAAACTTTTGAACCTGAAACCCTTCATTCTACCTTTCTCCTCCCGTTGCAAAGTTCCTCCAATGCTCTCCCACAGACATTTTATAACACCTATTTATCCAAGTATGAGCAATGAATTTTGTAGCTATCCAGCAGTTTTAACATGGTGACATTAATAACTAATTAATTCAGGCAGACTGCAAAAGTAAGTTTGATACTATCTCACCAAGCTTTCTCAGTTCTAGACTCTACGCAACGGGATAGATACCATGGCTGCTGCCACATTTGCACGCAGCTTCAAAGTACACTGAAAAGAGTTTCGCTAGCATTTACCTGCGAAGCCTGTGGCCTCTCACTGACAGATATTTGTTATAGTTCTGTGTTCCCATTACTCACTGACTCTTGCTACCCTAGCTTCTCTATATCAACTTCGTTAATAAAATTCTAGAACCCAAAACTTGTCTTAAGAAAACAAGCCCATTTGTTGGGGGGTTTCCATTGACATTACCTATGAGGCATCCCCATTATAACATATTCAATTCCCATTTCACTGGATTTATCAATGATGGTCTTAAGTGCAGGAATCATTACTTCACATCCTTCCAAACCAAATCTCTTTTCGGAAGACCACTTGCGAGCAAGGAAGTCTTCAAATCTTTGCCAAAAAGAAACCCAAAAAAACAAGAGAGAGTGTTTGTATTAAGATAATGTAGAAAATACTTATTGTCAAACATCTTTTAGCAAATGAAATTACATTACACTGTTTTAAAACATCTGTGAATGCATGTTTTTAGGCTTCTGGAAGTAAGCCACAGGGAGGGAGGGAGACATAGGAGAGCATTAAGTCTTCTTTCTCCTCCATTCGAGAAGTATTTACCAGGACTTTGAAACAATTCAGACAGGAGTAAGAGTCTCAACCTCAGATTAAATTCACTTCCCAAGTTAAACTCTGCTCCTTCCCATGTATACAAAATGTATACTGACCACTGGGAAGGCAGAGTAACAGCAAAGAAGTCTCTTCTATGGATTGAAGACAATGCAACAGAGAACCGGTATTTTCTGGAAGTAACGATTAAAAACTTGTAGAAATACAGTTGAAAAGCACGTCCATTTCATAGGTCCTACTCAATGGCAGGGCTCCTCAGATGGTTGTAACAGCTCGTAACGTGCCAAGAACTAGGACACTGGTATCTCTGCCTCAGCTGCAGCAGGAGAAAGATTTCAATCCTTGACAGCTCTATGTTCCTTCATTCTTAAATGCATTTGGGCCAGAGGCGATGCGAGTGGTTAAAAAGTACCTTTTAAGAAACACTGAAAGTATTATATGTTGTAAAGCTCGGAGATAAAAAAGGCAAAGAAAATACATTTTCATGAAAATAACTGTATTGGTTACATCATGTGTGCAATGCCTCGACTCATAACACTGCCATAATCCATTAATACTCAGCTTATTCCTCACTTAGAATGCTGACATATACCTCTTTAGATTGAAGTCCTAAAAGCAGTGAAATGAAGAGTTGCCAAAAGACTCACCTTAGCTCACCCATCGATACCCTTACAATTCAGGCATCTAAGCAACAAGCCAGACCCTCTGCTGAGCTATGCTGCCAGAATTCCTCAGGGAAGTCAGCAGGACTATGCCAGTTTATATAAACTGAAAGTGGGGTCCCATGGGAACAGCAAGTCCTACAGGGCAAAGCAAATTGGTGGCTGTACACGCCGTTTTCCTCCTCTTTGCAGCTGCAAGTTAAGCCAGTATTGGACAAGCAGAAAGTTCATTATTTGAGGCAAACTGCCACTAAGTATGCAGAACTACAGTATTTCACAGTCACATCCTGCAAGTCCCCCACATGCCACTGTGAGTTCACAAGGGCTGGCAGCTCATCCACTGTCACTGCCCGTGTTCAGTACCCAATGAGGAGCAAGTCATGAAAGATGGGTACTCTCAGAAGGGATAATCTAGAAATGCTTGACCCTGCACAGGCTTAAGAAGATGCCCAGATCAGACTACACAATCAGGGTCTAACATGTTTACTAATGCATACACAAAGTAGATCAAAGATATATGATGAGTATTTTACAGGAGGAACAGTTAAAAATGTCCCTTTCAATAACCTATCAGTGAACACCACAAAGGATAAGAAATCCTACTTTAAAATTCAGTTTCAAGTACTTGAATTATGCAGTACTTGGAGTGAACGTTTTTGAAAACGGTATTCTTGGGCAAAATGATGACTATCTGCTTTACAAAGCCACAAATCTCAAGAGCACAACCAGTTTTCCACAAAACCAGATGTTTTCCTTGATCATTTTCAGACACACACACACAAAAAAAAAGCAGGCTAGAAGTAGCTGAATAGAAATTTATGTAAAACTTTTTTCTTTTTCTTCCATTTTCAGCAGACAATTAATTTGGCAGAAGATGAACATTGGGCTCCTTCATGCTACTAGAAACCCCAGATCTTTCCACAGCTTAGACAGGCAGGAATAACAGCACAAATTCTTGTCTCAAGATAAATGGAGATGGTTCATACCGAGGGCTTGTTAAACAAACTTACTCAAGTGCAATATTCATTTGACCATTAAGTGACTTTTTTTATTTCTGTTTAAATGAAACTTTTAACGGGACAAACAATCTTGCTATAATATTGACAAACAAAGCGTGGCAAAAATATCTTTCAACACCTCCAATGAGCACTTAATTTTTAAGTGTTTGAACATAGATGCTTAATCAAAAAAGTGTCTTTATAAATCTCTAACTCTCGTGTTTATCTAAGAATATACAAACTGTTTCAGACTGTAAGAACTGTAATAAATCTTGTGCCTGAAAAGACAGTCTTGTTCTAGGGGTGAGAGGGTAATTCAGTCTCTGGATCACAGTTATTTCCATACAGATAGCCACAATGGGAGCAATCAATAAGCTGTTTCCAAACATGCTTTCATATATTGCAGAGACCAAAACACTCCTGCTGCCAGGTCATGCAACAGTACAGCACATGTTGGCATACCTCAAAAAGAAAAGGGCAAAAACAGGACTTGAAATCACATTATGCTTCTTAAATCCAGTTCCATCTTGGCACAGCCTTCGAAAGAGACTGTTAGCATCCCAGCTCATATCAACATTTCACCCATCTAAAAATTCTCCTTGAGCTGACTGTTAGGATGGCTTCCTTTGATCATGTGCTACTAGAAAAATGCACAGTAGACAGAATATAGCAGAAGATCAGCATCCAATGTTGTTCTGACATCTATTTTCTGAAGCAGGTTATGAAGCTTTAACACAGATGCACATCACTAGTCTGTTGAAACAATTTTTTCCCAGTTTATCTCTGCAAGCCAATGAAAACATTGCCAGATATGCCACTAAAGGCTGCACAAGTGTTACAGAACACAACCTGCCTTTTAAGAAAATAGAGTACTAAAAGTCACTACACAGACCCTGACATACCTCACAGCACACACTTTCCTTTGATATTGCAGCCAGGTTAACTACACCCACCTGTACTCCAGATTTCACTTAGACTCTCCACCTCGGCAGCTTACAGACTGCACCAGCTTACACCCAGTAGTGAGAGAGCAGTTTCCCAGCACCACGCCAGCATACCTCATTGAGCGCACCAGCCTTGCCAACAAAGTCCTTTTTTCCTCATTAGTAAACTTCATAACTCCCGGCGTCTCAAACTTCTGCCGGATCCACTGGCACTGCTCCACATCATTGATGAACATAAACTCCAAGCCAATGTGTTGGCAGTAGGTATTCTAGGATGTGAAAACACCAACACGGAAGCTTTAGGAGTCAATGGGCCATGAAGAAACATATGTATTTTTTAAATTATATTTTCTGTATATATTACTCTTCTGAAAGCTATCTTGTCTTCTTCCTCTTCCACTATGTCTTCCCATAGTAATCCTATCAGTGAATAAATTATTTTACTGAATCTAGTTTTGTGCCAGAAAGCTTTGTCTACAAAGTAACATTTCAAAATTTTGAACCTGGAAGATTCTCATTTGGTAATACATTCAAAGTAGGCCAATACACCTGCCTTAAACTGACTGGCCTATTTCACCTAACTCACTACTGTTCTTACAGGCATAATGGAGTCTTTTCTTTAGATGCATCAGCAAAGATTTAGAGTCATTTATCAAAATTTACCCTGTCTTTTTTAAATGTCACCTGAAATCAAGCAATAAAGACAATGAGAAGACAGCTATGAAGCCTCATGCAAATTATCTGGTAACTGTCAAGTCCCAGAAGGCTGGAAATCTGAAAAAGAATCCAAGGAGCTGAGAGCAGAGAAAGGACAGAGAAAAACACAAAGACACTTCAGAAATTTCATGTCCTTGTTGCATTTTTTTAAATTTTCTTTTTCTTACCTTAAAAGGAGTATTTCACCAGAAAAATGTGTCCAAAACCCGTCAACAAAACTAAGACCTATTGTGAGTTTCATTTGAGACAAAACCACTCTGAACACATAGTATGTGCTCTCTACTGCCTCTAAAAAGGAATTTAATGTTAACTTCAATAAAAAAAAAAAAAATCCAAAGCTCTGGAGAGAAGGAGGAAGCCAGAGGGTTATTTCTCTTTGACACAAACCAGTTCCTTGAGGCTCTTAGATTTTGCTATTGATTTTATCCATTTATTTGCACATTACAATTTTAAGGATTACCTCTTGAAAATGGCTGTACAGACATGCTAGAAGCGCAAAAACCAAAAAGCAAATACAGAGCTCAAATACACAACAGAGATGTTGTAGCTTAAAAACTTATCATGCTTCAGCTAAGCCGATGTAATAGTCAAACATGCAAGTCAACACATTCTCTCACACTTGCAACAGGTCAAAGCCATGAACTCTTATATGCTCAATAATTATTTTGTTTTTATTTTTACATTCTTGTAATTCAGTTCCATATTTCATCCTTTAAAATATTTCCTGACCCTTAGCCCTTTTTACTCCAGTGGACTTCATTACCATGCAACAGAAATCTCTACAGCTTCAGTACTCCAAAACCCTGGGAAAAGCACAATTGGGAATATCCAATACTTAGTAACTCAGTAGTTTACAAATTCATTACCATTCCTACTTGCCGTTTTGCTATTTGGAGTTCCCCTCTAATTATATTTATTTCTTCGCATTATTTTCGCATTATTTTTGCTTTGATGACTTCACGTGGCATAACCATATCACCCGTCAGATAATGAAAATCTAGAAAAAGGACTGGGGATGGAAAACAAGGACCATTGCTATCTACAAGCCACAGCTGGGCTTTCATGAATTTGGTACCCAACCCTCAGATTTTTACTCAGGTAAAAATCTTGCTAAAGCTAGGGCTCCGAGAGCAACCTCTGCATGTTCCGAGTACTGTACGCAAAGGTGTTTTATCTGTGGTAGGAAACTTAAGAGACAAGTTTTAAAGGCTCTACTTTTAGGCAACATCAGCTCTTTACTGAACTAGGGCCCGAATTAGTATTCTACCATATTCACCTCTTTTATACTTATCCCTAATCTATGTATTTCAGCTATCTAGGCAATGAAAGTAATGGTGCTGCCATCCCTAGAAACAGTACAAGGCTTATTTTTAATGTCATTTGAATTCTTTACATGCTCTATTAATAATTGATAAATGATAATTTTTTTTTGTGACCAACAACTGGAGAAAGTTCACTTCTGTTTGGATGGAAACAAACACAAATCAAAAAATGTCCCACTGACCTCCAGCCGTTTGATGATCTCTCGTAAAGAAAGGCTGTTCTCATTTCCTCCTATGAAGGTGGTTGTAGGCAGCTGAAAGACTTTGTCCAAATCTGATTCATGCAAACCATAAAACCCTACATAAGGTACATTGTCAATTTGCAAAGCAGGGCAGGAGACAAAAAGGAAGACAGAATTGTTTTTCAAACCACCATGAACTAAGTTTAATAAAGCAATATTAAAAAAGAAGGTACCAGATTAAAAATTGAAAGTGTGACTATTTTGGAGGCATGCACTAGTACAATGCACTTCAGTCTGGATTTTAAAAAGAAGTGTTTTTATTAAATAGCTATTGTTTGATTAGAACTAGCAAACCATTCTTTCTTAAATGCTCAGATAAAACTGAAATTAAAATCACCCAAACCTTTTCTTATTTTAGCATATATGCCATCAATTCTCCATATTATATCTTGCACTTCACTGTTTAGTAAAATAACTAACTGTAATGACTGGGATTTCTTCCTTGCTCTATCATGAGCAACAAAACCAAAAAACCCCACTTTTCACAGACAGAACCAGTTGGTTGCTAGCATACTAGATTAATTTATACAACATTAATAGACAGACTAAGAGAAAATACAGAACATGTTCAATGTAACGCTGTGCAAACACTGGTAGAACTTCCAAGGTATCTCTATTCATCCTCTTTCTCTTTATAGGGAAGTTATTTTGAAATAGCCATGTAATGACCTGTACAGCTCTATTTCCCAATCAGTAACCCCTTATAAAACAGATTTACACACACACACACCCCTGCCTAGCTAAAACAAGAGCTTGTTTAAGCATACGGTCCCACCTTGATTTAGACATATCTCAACTTGTTCTGGCTGAGAATATGGTTTAAGAAAATGTTTAACTTAACTATTATGCAGTTTCAAAAGCCAAAATACACAACAGACAAGACTGAAAGACTAGTATCAATGCAAGTTAAAGGCTTTGCATGATAAAGTTTAACCTAGACCTGCTAAATGAAGAAAGGAAAAATAGCTTCTTACAACTGTAAGAAGCAAATGTATAAAACTTGTAAGACACATTACATACAGTTATAGAAACTTATATATACATACAAATTATATATGTGTGTGTGCACATGTAAAAATATTTTTAAAACTAAAAATAGCTTCTATATTTTTAATTTTGAACTCTTTATCCTGGTTTCACATAAGCTGCAGGCATCCACTTTAACACTGATATGACAGCCTGCACATAACTCTAAAATCAATATAGAATAGTGCTCTGTATTTCCTGTTAAATGAATTTTCTGAAGATGAAAGTGAAGAAGCAATTTAAAGATAAAATAATAACAGAACTAAGCATTTAGAGTTGAAGTAATGCCATAGGACTGCATTGCCAGCACTTTCACTATACAGCACTGTCAGTAATAACACATTTTGTGTTTTAAATATTTTAAAATATTAATTTTGGTTTTAATAATAATTTTCATAATACATTAAAATGTCAAATCTGGAGTGACCAAAAACAGTGTTTGTGTGCCACTATTTCTCCTTTTTGGTACCATAATAGGTTTTTCCAGCACCAAATTAATTCTGGTTTTCTATAATGAGGGAGGGAGGCGGGGGCAGGAGGGACACAGGGGATGACGGGGCTTTAGTGTCATTTGAAACAAAGCAGTGCTAACATCCTTTTTTCGGGTTTTTTTTTTTTTTCTTCTTTGCTGACTTTCTCTCAGACTTCACAGGCTCTTCATGTTCTGTCATGCAAAAACCAGAACACATACAGGAGTGATTTGGGCACACACAGAACATCTGTGCTTTGTACTGCAGCACTGCATATTTACTGAAGCATCACCTCATGTTTAAAGAGATACAACCTTATTGAAATCCAAGAGTTCCTGAAAGCAATTCTATAACTTGAATTGTGCAGTAGGAACACCTGCAACTAGCTGCATTTTTAGAAACAACTCCCAGAAGAAACTTCCTACCAGAAGGTTTCTCAAAAAAGAAGACGGGACAAAGAAAATGCACAGAAAAATTAAACACTAAAATACTTTCTGTACTACCAGAGATCTTTCATAAGTTTCCTGCCTGGAACATTCAAGGCTAGGCAACATTTGAGATTCTTCCCTTTTTTGCTGTGCCAAGACTAGGTTAGAAATTTTGTTTCCCCTCACAAACTGAAATATCACTTCAGTTACACTCTCAGACATATCCCCCTCATCTCATTCAGAGGTCTAGCATATTCTTCCTATGCTCACGAGGGCTTCAGTATGATGCCTTCTGACCAGTTTCAACACTGTACTAAACTATCTGTAGAGTTTAAAGAAATTTGTACTGACGCGCTAGCAATCACCCATGCTCCAAACAAATTGTATTTACTCAGTAAACATCTAATGTATTTTCTAGTAGGTACTTTCCTTTCATTAAAGCTGACAAACTTCAAAGAGAACCCCTGATTTGTGTAAGCACCTCTATATTTACAGTCTTAAGCACTCCACTGCTTTTATATGATCAAGG